GAGGCACTGCATTAATTACCACCTTAGCCCTATTCCCTTCCATCCTCCCAGTGAACCAAAGGAGAATCACAGATGTGCTTCTGCTGTTTCTGATTAAACAAATCCTTTGAGAATTTATTTCAATCTCATATGAATTTTTGAAGTTCACAATTAGTTCTGTGAGTGATTTTTTTGTCCTCACATTTGCTTAGATAAATGTGTGCTTGGATAAATGCAGGCTTGCACACTTGTGGTAGCCTTCTTGAAGATGGTAAGAGAGCAGTTGTAAGTCTCCAGCTGTTGCAACTTCTTTCCCTAGCTCTCTTTTTATTTGGGCCTCTTTAATAGCTATTGTTAGCATCTTTATCAAATGAGGAATGTCATTCCAGTAAGTTCTCCACATGTTCCTCTCTGGCTGCTCTGCCACGTTAATCTGCTTTCTGTAATGAAGATGACTGGAAGCCATCTACCCACTCAGTGCAGCACTCCAGGGTTTTTGAAACACTTTGGGGAGCGTATTTATTTAAACATTACCAGAAATGCAAAATGAATGTCAGCCTTTTCACAGAATAGCCTTGAGTAGGTTCATTTTGTGAAAAGCTCTCTGTGAAATCTCACTGCTTGCTAAGAGAAGAGTAAAATGTTTTCTGGGGAAAGGAGACAGCAGATAAGGAGTCATCAAACACTAGGAAATTAATCATGACTGGATTTCCCTAATTAATCAACATTTCAAATATATTAATGTTCTTGCACAGTTTCTGTGAACCTTATTTTTTATTGTATTTTTTTCCAGTGATTCCGAGCCCTTTGGTGCCAGTAAGACTTGTCATCTATGAATACAGGATGACTCTTCATAGAAATAAAAAGCAGCTATTACAGGAAAGGGAAGAGTTATGCCAGGAAAATTACTTATTACAATTTTCCTACTTTTTCTGCAGCAGAGTGTTTAAACTTTTAAGCCTATTATTCATTATCAGACTGGTGGATGGGTTCAGTATCTCATTGATTACAAAGTCAGCAATGTATTTACCAGGGAGAATGACATAGTACAGCCACTAAATACATGTCATGCCAGCCTAAAGACTGCAAGGTTAGCAGACTATTTACTTATTTACTATTAGCAGACTATTTACTTTGATATATTCTTAACAGTACTGAAAGAGTCACACAGTGTGTTTCAGGTCTTAGACTTCAAGGTTATTTACTCTTTTTATATAAAGTCCTGCTAGATGTAAAACCAAAGCAGTAACCAAAACAGCAGAAGTCAAGCTCAGGACTCTCTTGTTCTTTGCAAATTAAACTCCAGGGCTACTTTTACCTTTCTGCAGGCTCTGAATTTCCTGGTCTCTAAATATCTAAAGGTCAAGGAGGTTTGGATTCCCTCAGGCTATGATAGCCCTGAAACCTCTACTTCCAACTTCTTGTCCGAGTGCTTTAACTTCCAGACACTGCAGCCCTGTATTCCTCTGCTGTTTTTAGGAAAATATTCCTGATGAATTCCTGATTCTTAGAATACTGGTGTATGGTGCCTCATTTGGGGTTGGGTCTGCTTGTAAGAGGTGCCTCCCTTCACACCTGGGGCTTGTGAAAGAGTGAAGTTTTAGTATAAAAGTGGTGATAGTGCTTTGCCCAGAGAACTGAGCACTGTGCCTTTCTTCAGAGCTGAGAAAACTGAGTCACTTGCTCATGTTCTTGGCTATCAGAGGAGGGAGAAACAAGGGCAACACAGAGTGATTAAAGGAAAGAACCCCAGTGGGACAGTCTTAGCCATACTGCTGCCTTTAAATGTACGGATCTGTCCCACTTAAGTCAAAGTTAATCAGAAGTGGAGAACTTTTGTGACAGGGGAAAAATTAAACATTCACTTGAATGTTTTTGTAAATTAAAATGCTGACTATATTTTTATTCAGTTGAAGATGGACCTCTTGGAGGAAGCCAAATATTAGACTGTTTGTAGTGGAATGTTTAATGAGATTGTATGTCTTCACAGACAAAACAGCCCAAATTAGGATCAGGGACAAATCTGAGGATATATTCTAATTTTCCACTTACACTGTACTTATATTTTGCTTTTACAAAACCTCATGAACTTCTGGTAGTAATTTCTAATAGTCATTAGTACCAGGTAATGTAACAGCTGTACATTAGTAAATAATTAGCCTGTATAGAAGTTACCATGATTTTCATATAATAAGATGTGATTGTAATGAGTTTTTCTACCCATCCTCATTATTGCATGGGTTGGTAACTGCTTGCTGTAAGTTACTTTCCAAAGTGTATGTATTAAATCTTATCATTCAAACAAATGAAAATTATAGAAAGGAGCCTTAGCACTGTTTCTTGGCCAGGGGTTTTTAACAGCACTTGTGAAAGATTCTTTATGACAGATATAAAGACATGTTACTAAAATACTTTGTCTTTCTGGAAACCTATCACAGTCTATAAATGTCTCCCAAAATAATGCTGAGAGCATTCTGATATTGCCATCCCAAATATATACTTTTTTTCCTTGTCTTGAAACAAACCACAGAAAATCTTTGGTTTGGACTGTCAGGAATCACATTCACGCCTAAAGGGAGATATTTGACTTCCATCTGTTTGGGGGTTGTTTTCTTACTTTTTTTTCCTTTTTTTTTTCTTCTAGTCTCCTAATTTTTTAACTAGCTTTTTCTTTTCAAGGAACCTTATTTAACCTTCTTTCTGAGTTTTGAGCATCCAAGCAAAACACAAAGAACCATCAAAGTACCAGCAAAAGGATTAGCATAATTTAAAAGTAGAAATTCATCCTCTCACTCTAACAGAAAATTTGATGTCTTTGTTCACATTGTGTTATCCCTCATGTACTTATTAATTTATGTTGCTGTGTGAATGACCATGAACTCCCCAACTTTGTCTTCTTTGGCATTCCCACAGCGCAGACCCCGCTGTCTGCTGCTGGAGTCTGGCGCTCTTAACATGAGGAGGATCACTTGAGGTTTGGGAGCATGTCTTTCATTCATTCTGCTAAGGATCAGTTTGTCTTCTGCAAATACATTGTGACTCAGAATCACGGGAGAAAGCTTCTGTGGGCAATTGTTTTCTGTTATTTTTATTCAGTACCTTAAACCACTTGCGTATTTTGTGCTTTTCCATTCATGGTTCCAGTTGCTAGAACGGTTTTGTTTTCAGCTACAGGATATGGGTAAAATACACATATTTCAGTAATTCTCTAAGTTCTTTAGTTTAGTGTTAAGGCATATTTTGGTAACTGAAATGAAAAATAATGCATCTAAAAGGTTCTGTTGATCTGAAGCCAGTAATAAATATGCTACTATTTACAGAAGTGAGCATTAATTTTGGGCACTGAAAGTAGTAAACAGCAGAGTCCAACTTCCAGCAGCCACCAGGCACTCCTTAGGAAAAAACTCCTTAACTTGGGATGTAAGGTGGATCTATCAGCCAGAAGCACTGATCCAACCTGTGGTGCTTTCCATCCTGCCTGAGACCAAGAGTGACCTTCATAGAGGGACCACTCTGATCTCAGGTCCATTCCCTGGATTAATTGTTAATTCTGGTGCTAGTTCAGTAGTTTTGTTGCTGATACTTGAAAAGGTTTCCCAGGCTGTTTATCTTACAAAAAGTTGTTATTTGAGGAATAGACATTCTGGGATACAAACAGGCCAAGAGAGACATCATTTTAGGGAACACACTGATTGTAGGAAAGTACCTGAGAATTCTTGGCCTCGTCGTTTCCACCTGGGGGAGGCTGTGGAAAATACCACATTTTCTGTTGCATAGGATTCACATTTTCTTACCATTTTTGGGTTTTAAGGTTAAAACAGAAATAAGGGCTTGAAATGATGAAGTGGGGATGTTGGTGAAAGAAAGGTTCAAATGAAGAAGTCCAGAGAAGTACAACTCTAGTATATAGAAACTAATTAAAACCAAGTACTCTTGGAGTTGTCTCCCATAGTCTTGTATAAACCGGGTCAGATTCACCTTTTAGCTGTACTGGAATGACTTCTTTCTGTGTAGGAGGAGAGTGATCTATTTTGGAGGTATCTTCCTCTGCTGAGGAACTGATAAAGTACTGAAGGTGTTTTCTTAACGGAGCTTGCATTTCACCATCCATTTATATAAGGAGGATTGATACCTTTTTTTGACAATCTGTCATGAGGTAACACTTCTAAGGAAGTGCCAAGGATCTTTGAGCACTGATTTAAGGAAATATGTGCTTCAGCATTTGAAATAAGGAAGAACAAACTTTCCTTCCCACAAAAAAATCTCACATCCTAAACTGAAAATGTGTGCTGTCCTTCTGTGAGCAGATACCACTAGCTTTATTGTAGAACAAGCACTAGGTTCTTTGTCCCAGCTGTAAAAACTGTGATGTTCTATCTAGTAAAACATCCTTTTAATTTCCTTTTTGTTTATAAATCTTTCCATTTCTTCTCTCAAGTAAAACAGTTTTTGTAATTCTTCTGCATTCTGGACACAGTGAAGTAAAAAAGAATTATTTGTACTGCCACAGTCATGCTGGGTTTTGTTAGACAGTGGTGAGAAACAGTGTTTGTTTTGGATGTGGTGTGTACTAATGCATGACTGCTTACATTAACTATGCACAAATTTATCACCTTTATTGATTGTATTGTTGTCTCTACTTTTTGTGCCAAGTTCTGTTCTGCTTTACTTTGCCATGAAGAGCTACAGATGCAACTGGCTGCAAAACAGGACCTGAGGTGAAGATTGGGAAATCCTCACAAGCTTAGCTGGGGAGCAGTAATACAGCCTAAGGAGAAAACTTGTGTGGAGGCCATCAGCTAGTGTTGTTTCATTAGCATGTGTAGTAGGAGCAAAAAGAGATCTCTGACAGTCTTTGAAGCCCTAATGCAGTGAAATATCTTCCCTTGAATGGCACCACATGAACTTCTCCTGTATTCTGTGGCACAGAAAACCCCTACCCTGTCTTGGAGTCAGGAATAATGGGGCTTGGGTTATTATGACTTGTCTCTTTGTATTCCTTCTCCTCTTGCTTTCTGCAGAAACACGAGCATTTTTTGGCTAACCTGCTGTTTTATTGGGGTTGTCGGCTGGCTTGGTGCTAAAGGTTTTGCAACAAGAGTGAAAGGCACTTCCTTCCTTGTATGAATTCATGAAAGGTTAGTATAACGGTTCTTAAGTCCTTTTTTCCCCACAAGTCTTCCTACAGCAGTAATTATTCTTCTCTGTTCCCCTAAAGATAAGTCTTTCATGATTAAATAAAAAATCTTGTTAAAAGTGACATTATATATTACATGTGCAAACTTTGCAGTGAAGCAAAAGGACCAGCAATAAACTCCTGTTTCTGTGCAATATCCTTCATTCCTGTTTTGCTAAATCCCATCATGTTTCCAAAGCAGTGCCTGCTGCTCTCAAACAACACATGCTGTTACCTGCTCCGTGCTAGACCAGCTGGCATATTCATGACCAAGGAGATTGGCAGGACAGGGCAGTGGGAAGGAGGAATGCCTGGTGTAAAGGGAATTGACCTGCAAACATACTTTTGACCATGATTTATTCCATAAACAGCTTTATACCTCACTGTCTCCTCAGCTCTGGGACTGCTGCATGGGCTCTAGAACTGCAGCACAATCTCACATTAAAATGTTTATCTTTCCAACACTGTGGTGATATTAGGAATTATTTCTTTTGCTATTCATGAACAGGATAGAACCTGTAAGACCAAATATGCTGCTGTGTGTACAGGAATGCTAAGACATACTAAAACTAAAGCCAAATTTTCCGAGTCCAAGTTATGGTTCCCCAAAAAATAAGAAGCAACTTTGCTCCAAATGATAAATGCCTGGCAGGCTCTTCTTAATGCCATTAGTCACTTATTTCCCAAGACTTAATTCAGTGGCATGTCATATGCAGCAAAGCCACGGCCAAAATGCTGTACAGCAGCAACCCACTATTTTTGGATATTGGCAGTGGGATCTCTTTTCCCTGGATTACGAATAGCTTTTTATGATTTTACTTCCCACTTCACAGTGGCTAATGCAGGACTGTTTTACTGTAAACTAAATATTCACAGTGTGTACAAAATATGGCATTCACAGGAAGATGCAGGGTGAGTTATAGGAGCCTCTTCATACAAACAATGTGTTGGTATAATGTATCAACAAAATGAAGTAGAGAGTGTTATCAGTTCTCTTGTAAATTCTGGATTAATTTCATTCCAGATGGTGACAGGATTAATGTATTGCCAGAATTGCCTCTAGTCCTTTTTTGATGATTAATAGCTTATCTGCATTCCTTTCACTCCGGAGTAAAGCAACACTAATAACTTAAGTAGTGGGAAGTTTCCTGTGGAAACACTAATTGCAAAGCAAGGATCCCGTTGTGGGGAATGCCAAAGGGAGTTTGGACTTTCTGGACAGTCCAAGACCTTTAAGAAAATTGACTTTAACATATATACACACACAGATTGCTGCTTCTCTGAGTTACCTATCAGATGGTTTATTTAACAATCTGCAGTGAGGGGAAAAGTGCCTTACTGGGCATGGAGATATAGAACCTGGGAGAGAAATTTACAGTCCAGATGAACAAAAATCAATGAGTACTTCAGATGGTAGATAAGGTTAAAGCTGCTATATTCCACTTGTTCAAGTCACAGGATAAAGCTTAATAATCTGGTTGTTCTAAAAGCAGCTTCCTTGTGTCTTGAATAATTGATTTTTTTGAGGGAGAAGCAGATCTACTACTGCTCAGAACCTCTTCTGCTCAAATTTAGGGCCCTGATGTTCTGTGAACACAGGATTTCACAATACCAGCTCTGCTGGCTGTGGAGAAAACAGGAACTGAGCGCAGCTGGGCAGGGTCTGGCCACAGCAGAGGAAGGTCCTCGTCACATCTGTCACCAAAGTGGACTGAGGGGAGCAGAAGGGGGCACTGCTGCTATTCCAGCTGAAAGAGAGGTCAGTGGCTGACCTCACTGCTGGCTCTAATTGATTTTGAGAAGAAAGGCTCTAATTGTTTGTTTGTTTGTTTTTTTCTTTCTGAGCCAGTCTAAGGCCCCATTTTCCTGAAATCAAGTTAGATGACTTACATTATCCAGGAACAGTGTCCTGCACCAGATCTGCTCACTATACAGACAACCCAGAGGAGCATCTTCATCTAAGATCAGTGGGTTGGCTCCTTCTCCAGTACTTATCTGGCACCAGTAAGTACCGTCAGTGACTGTTGCTGAGTAGGGTTGACTACCCTGGGAAGAGAAGTGGCATGAGCCTAGAGCAACCTTTCAATCTCTAGGACGAACATTAAAGGATGGCTGGGGTGAGTCAGAAGCTGAGGTGATGATGTACCAACCTCTTTGAATGAGATAGTGAACCCTACATTTCTGGTCATAGTCTAAATGTGCTGCACTTGGTGAAACACAAGTACACAAAGCTGAAGTGAGACAGAGGACCCCGAGTCAGGATCCTGTTTTGGTTTAAAGCATTCTGTAAAGCTGCTTTTATTTCTTCTCAGTTCAGATTTAGAAGAGACAAGGGCAAAGACTGGGAAATCTGGTTCCTGAATAAATTTGATGCTGTTGAACTTGTTGGCCTAGGGGTTAGCTCTGTATTCTAACAACTCAGGTAAGGAGGAACCATACTGAATTATATAAAATCTTTTCCTGTTAAAGAGTCACAAACTTAGCCCATTCATTTCAGCTGTGAATAAGTCTCCGTTCTGTTACTAAAATGGCTCTGTTGTGTCATTTATCAACTCTGCAGTGCATGAATCATTTATCATGGATCTCTCTGTGGTCTGAATTTCTGTTGGACACTGCACCTTGTACCCTACTTTTTCAATGCTGCTTAGAGCTATTTGTGCTAATTTGAAGTATTATCTTCCTGCCGTTACACTTATTCTTTCAGAACTTCTTTTGAACAGCTTTCCAAAAGGAACCCTGCAGAGGTGAGACCTTCTTGATATAACTGTTTAATGCCAACTATCTCTCCCCACCTTTCACCTCCTATTGATGCCACTGCTAAACCAACAATGCCTAAATGGATACATAATTCATCAGACCTAAAGAAGAGTGGGAAATAATGGGAAATAATAGCTTGCATTTACAGTTCAAGAAAACTGCTTGTTAGTTGAGTTATTCTTTGAAAGTCTCAGATTTCGTTACAAAGGGAACTGATTTTAACCTGTGGACCTCTGGCATAGCGACTGTGGTCTCCAGGCAGCAGTAACACCATCCATCATGGTATTACTGAAGGTTATAATAAGGTTTCTGCTCTTTTACTTGAATTCAGGTGGCAGATTTACACTAGAACAACTAAGGATTTGCCCAGCTGTTTTCCCAGAACCACACATCCACTCATACTCGCTGCTCCTCAGTCTCACAGCACCGCATGATTTCTTCTGTGAAGCCTCTGACTGGGAAGTAGCTGAGTCTAACTTCCAAATCTGGGCCACACTGGAATGGTTGGAAAGTTTTGTAAAGGAAATGACTGCTCCAGGCAAGTAATGATTAAATAATAAAAATCTGGTCAGCTCAGCTCAAAGAAATTCTGCCCAGAAACTGCAGGCTCCATAGAAAGTTAAAATATTCAGTCCTTCCCTGCTAGTGCCTATCTCATGTTCAGCTGGTCAGTAGTGTTTGTACTTGAGGACTTTGACCACACTTGCTCATAAAACTGTGGGGTTTTGGTGTTTGAAACAGTGTCTGAAGTTTTTTAAAAGACCTTGTATTTAAGCTGTGTCCAAGCAGAATAGAAGGAGGCCAGTCCAGGAGTCTGTCCCTTTTACTTCTAAAGACTTGGCTCAACAGATCCAAGTCTGAACAAAGTCTCTCGGAAAAAAAGAACAATTAAATGGATCCTTTTGCTTCTGGCAGCAAACCTCTTCCTCAGTATTGCCCACTGCTTCCATTCATTAAAGACTTTGAACATGATACTGTGCTTGCCTCCTGCTACATTACTGTACAGGGTCCCTTTGCCTGCCTTTTTATCATCAGCTTCTATTTCTTTGTCTGCTGCACAGAGGCTTCTTGCAGCCCTAATGAGGATGTTATGAGCAAAATATTTTTCACGTGTTTCCAGAATTTAAAATAGTTTAATTTGATGTGTCAGATGGTTCCAGGGCTGCAAAGTTAGCAGAATGATTGCTTCTTGTTTGGGGATCTGGTAGTGGTGTCGTCATATAGAATTTTATCAGGTTAGTCAATATTAAATGGTTGTCATGCAGTATTCATTTCCTACTGTTGTTGAATCTTAAAATCAGAATGAAGCAAAATGACTATTAATTTTTTTCTAAGTCTTTCCTGGCTTCATTTTTACTACATTAAATGATCACAGCAGGTATGAGGCCTGATGAAGAAATGCAGCTTCCCTTTGGGCAGGACTCAATTATCTGGCTGTCTCCAAGTGGTGATGCATGTGCTTTGGGTAATGTTAATGTGATATCTGATGTATTCCACTTCTCCAGCAATATGAACTGCTATCACAGGAGGCAGTGAGGGTGGGGAGAAGGGAATGGGTTACTACAACAATGAGGCATTTATATTTGGAACCAGCATTGCCATGCCATTATCTGGATGTCTTTGAGTAAATTTCGGGATTTAACATCCATCAAGCTGCCTGACAACACTAAGCCTGCATTTGTGAAATGTCTCATAGGATAGAGGCATAAATCTGAGTTATCTACATAACAGGGATATTGAGTTATGTTGCACAGGAGAGGCCTCAAGCATAGCTGCTCTGGAAAGCATATCTGAGAACAGAGACCTAAAATACAGCTCGTTAATAAAAACAGTGTTGCTGTAAAACATAGCTCTAACTTTTAGCAGAAGGAAAGAAATAATTTTAGAATTATCCTTTTTGGCCACACACATAATGTGGCTCCCAGGGACATGCAATTCCTTGTGTAGAAGATGAACAAAACTTTAACAGATCTTGTCTACTACTTATGAAACTTATGAAATTCAAAGAACTGTATGTTTAGGTAGACTCGGTTGAAACTAATCATTCAGGCCTTAGCTTTTTACCTGTCTCAATTAGAAGCAAACCAAAATGTCAGGTTTATTTGACCTGATTGTCATTTTACTACAGCACTTCTATGCAGTGATATCATCTGGAAACTGATGGCATCTCACCAGCATAAAATGGATCTGACAAGAAGGAATCAGGACTATCACTGTGTCTTTTCCTCTGAGTTGTGTTGCCGTTGAGAATGGAATAAAACATTTGTTGGTATTTAAGGTAAAATAGCTATGATTTCTGCACTGGTACATAAAGCTCACATTTTCAGTAATATACTGAGATGATCTTTCCACTTATCAGAGAAAACATTGATGACTTTGGAGAAAACTGATATCAGTAGATAAAGTACACTTAAGACACTCAATGGGATATTTCAAGTCATTCTGTCTTCAGGACTTTCTATCTTTTTGTTAAGAAACTTGGAGTTGATTGAAGTAAATCATGATGTGAAAGAGCACTGGGTTGCAGCTGATTCTGTAAAAAGCCTGGTCAAGTATTTGCTCAAAACACTGGTGTTGTGGATGTATAATTGATTTTTTTTAATTTAAAACTTATGAAGCATTACTTTGTTTTTCACATAATATGACAATTACTTAATGGAACATGATCATAAACTGATGAGGCTGCTGGCCAGTGAGATTAGAGGATCCATAGACTGTTACCTCTTTGAAAACAACATAATGGGAAGCTCACACCCCTCTGATCCCTGCTTGTCCCCTAGATTGACTGCAGGAATGTTATTTAACTCCCTGATCCTAAGTACATTAGCATCTAGAGCAGTTAACCCCTGGTTTTCTGGAACATCATCCCTTATGGTTTGTTTTGAATCAGATACCCATGGTGTCTCACAGACACTTAACTGAGTCAGCCTGAGAGAGCCCTTCAAACACTCTGATGTCAGAAAGAAGTGGGAATGCAATTGCTGCCAGGGCTGTGTGAGCTCTGCCTCAGAAGCATGCTTAAATCTTCCCTCCCTTTTTAAAAGTCTTCACTGACATCATGCAAGTTATAAAAGGAGGAGCAGGTATGAAGTGAAAACACAACCTAGGCCTCCCATCATCCCTGGGGAGGGATCTGAATACAGTGCTGAAACTGGTGATTAGTGTGCACTTTGTTTTAAAGTGCCTAGAAAATCGTTGTTTGAATGCATTATCATAGACATGCAGTAATTCCAATCCATCTGAAACACAGGAATTGAACAGCCCAGAAATAACTCTGGTCTTATAAGTAGCTTCCACATTGTAAACATCTGCCTTTATTATGATTGAAGTACAATTAATTCATAAGAGGCATAAAACCATGTCTGCATCAAGGAGGATAAGCTTCACATAAAAATTACTAAGGTTCAATAATAAATAACACAAACACACATGATCAGAAGAAATCTAAAGAAACTTACCTCTGAATGGCTGAGATAAAGGGTTAATGCACTTACTGGTTATACTAAACAAGCAAGAAACAGTGTGAAAACTGATTAATTTAATATGTTAGAAAAAGGGGGAAAAAATAAGCCTTTATAAATGGAAAGAGAGAAAGCCTTGTCAGTTATTAATGCTTTCTTTTCTTGCTAAAAGAACAAACGCAACTTTGCCAGGGTTTTTTTTTTTTGCTCATAAATGATCAGGAACTCAACAATTTGTAATAGTCTTATCCTAAAAATAATTTTAATTACTGCAAAATGTGTAGAATACTTTCTAGAGGCACTGCTTCTTAGCTCATTATCTAATCATTACCTGATAGTTAGAACCAAGCCTTTATATGCACTGTCTAAAAGGGAAAAAATACTCTGCCTAAAATTTGGTGTGTTTGACAGTGCCACTGAGCTTTTGGAGGCTCAACCTAAACTGATCCCAAAATGAGGGAGGGGCAAACAGAGTTAAAATCCTGTGCTCTTAACTGTGTTCTGCCCCTTGGCTGAGGAGCAGAAAGATCTCTACAAAGGGGGAGAACTGTGTGTGGCCTTTGAGACCACACAGAGGGAACAGATCACACCTGGTGCTTTATTCTCATCGAAAAACCTAATCCTACCCAATCACCCTATGAAGCAGTTGAGTCAGAGCAGTCTTTCTCTAGGGGCTGTGGGAGTAGTATCACTGCAAAATTCCTTTTCAATTCCTAAAGTAACTCAGTATAATAATTCTTTCTGTTCTCTCATCATTTCTCCTCTGTTTTCTCTTCCACTTAGAGTTTTCCTTGTTGAGTCTATGATTGAAGACAACAGAGTGATAGAAACTGCATACCTGGAAAACAAGTAAAGGCACTCCTGATCAGCAGCAGTATAATGTAAGTGTGAGGAGCTGCAGGAATTACAGGCCCTAGATAGCAGACTTTTTCTACTTTAATAATGAAATGGCTGTGACTTACAGGGATCATCTACTCCATGCACTAAGGAATGTTGACATGTGACCAGGTCAGCATGAATAAGTGTATGAAGTACTTAATGGAAATAAAAAACTTCATATCCAAGCAGGAAATGGTTGTTGCATTTGTAGCTGTTTGGTTGGGTTTCTTCTGGTTGTTTATGATTTGTGTTGGATTTTTTGGTGGGTTTTTTGTTTGGTTTGGATTGTCTTTTTGTGTGTGTTTGTGTGTTGGTTGGTTGTTTGGTTTTTTTTTTAAAGAAGTTTAGATCAGTTGCTTTGTGAATCAGTTTTAACAGAAAACTAAATAAACAAACCAAGTGTAATTTTGAGTACTAAAGGAACCAGCTTATTCATATTTCTGTTAAGTGCAATGGCTCTGAAATAGTGCCTCAGGTCTTGTTTTTAAATCCTTTATTTCACAAACAAAGAGTAGTGGAACTCGCAGAAAAGCAGATATTAATGTGGTTTGACAAGATGCTTTTGTGAGAATAAAAATGGGGGGAACCCACTCACCAAAACAAGCAAATGAAAAACCAGTAACGCTGTCAAACCAGAAATGCACATGTACTACTTAAAGCTGAGTGTTACAAGAGACTGTATAATAAATGTAAACCATGAGTTGAGTATATGCAGACTTCAATTCTTTCTCCTTTCACTAAGTTAAATTTTGCACTTGGACTGCAGCTGCTCTACTTGGAAGAACAGTTGTAACTGGTATGCAACACCACAGCTCAGATTAGCTTTCCTCCCAAAGCTGCAAAAGGTTTGAAATGATGCCACAAAAGTAACACAGCAAATGCAGCTTTGAACAAGGGAGTCAGTGTTTACAACCAGTGCATAAGCAAGTTGGAGTATAAAAGAACTTAATTAAAACCATCTTTGATGTTTGTGTTTATAGGTCATTAGTTTGCTGTATGTTGTGCAGATGTACTCAGCCTTTGCCAGAAAGGTCTCACTTGCATAATATGAGCTGTGATTTTTATTTGCAGCTACTTTAACTTGCAAGTTTGGGGTTTTAAAGACAGTTGCTGGGTTTTCAATTTAAGGCTATTTTCCAGGCTTAATATCTAATTCTCACTTTTTATGAAATAAGTCATCCTCCCTAAGTAGAACTACTTAAGGCAAGTGCAAAAAACTACTTTTCATCCTCTCTGTTTTTTTGGCTGAACTCCAGATTAGTAGCCTCCCACCAAGAGTGAAGGCTGGCAGAAAGCATAAAATCATTCACAAAAAGTGTACTTGTCTCTGTCAGGAGAAGGACGAGAATGAACTGTGCTTGCTAAAGAGAGGAAAAAGTGGATTTTTTTTTTTTTAAATGCTTTTATCAAACGTTAAATCTTTGGTACTGCCCATGGGATATACTGGTGTGCCCAGCACCATGTCTTTTTTTTTTTCCTTCAGGCAGAAAAAACCCTATACCTTGGCATAATGAGAGGATGTGAAAACAGTGGGTTTTGTGTAGGGAGGAGAGGAGATCAAAGGGAAGAACTAAATGTTCTTTTATTTTGAGTTTGACCTGGCATCATTACTTCTGCTTCCCAGTGGAGGAAAGTCAAGTAGCTTCTCAGAAACCAATCAAAACTTTATAGGCAGAACCAGAGAAGGAACCTGTATCACCTGGACCTTGGCTATGAATTCCTTATAAACACATGGATCATCAGAACCAGAGGTTGCAGAATGACATCTAGATTAGCAAGGCTTATAGTCAGTGCTCCTGCCAATGCTGTTGAGTCATGCAGTTGTGTTTTTTTCCAAATATAGGCCACAGAAAACAGTCATTGGTGTCCACAGATTTTAGAAACAGAAGTGAAGAACACAGCTCTGAGATTAAAAAGCAGAAAGTGTTTTAGAGTGGAAGAGTCTGCTGTTGTAAGAAATAAACATTTCTGGTTAGAGGGGTGAATGCAACAGGTAATACTTAGCAGGTAGATTCCTAAGGAAGCAATATTTAAACGTCAGCATGTTAATAATAACTGGGTGGAATCACGACACATGCGAATTGATGTAATATTTTAAAAAAGATAAAAGAAAAAAAATCCTTTGAAGTGCAGCTATTATTTAAAGTACTTTTAAAGTGAACATAATATGATCCATCAAAGATCAGTAAAAAGGAGGATGGTAAAAGTAATACTAGAAATATACTTCTAGATTATTCAGAGTAGTGATTCATGCTATATTATGCTCTGCTTGAAGTATGGCTAAGGAAATTGTGACTAATATACCAAATGGACCCAATCTTGAGAGATAAATATCCTAAAGTATGAAGTGAATGTTCGTGTGTAGGTAGGTAACTTCAGTGAGTGAGCTTGCCACTGCTTTATGGGACAGATCTTGTAGCTGTTTAAACTGATATCACTCAGCTGAACTCAGGGTAGTACTGACTTGGACCTGTCCAGCATTTGCTTCTAATTCCTGCTATAAATTGCCTTTTCAAGTAGAATTGTAACATGTTTGCCCATGAAAATAAATCTGGGTATTGATTTGCTGTAGCAATGGCCAGTGTGGGGTTTGAGGTGGGCATTTCTGTGTGTGTATGTCTCTCTCTCTCTCTATATATAGATAGATACATAGATATCTTTCTGGTAAGAAGGAGGGTGGCATAGGCAATGTACTGTAGAAAAGTATGAAAGCAGTTAAGACATTTTTAGATGTGGAATCCTACAATTTTAGTGAGAGCCTGTAATTACAGCAGAGGTGGAATTGTTTCAGGCTGTTTGGATGCTACTTTATACGCCAATGAACTGTAAAAATGTGAATTGGGGAAGAGGCACTTTAGTTTGTGCTTACGTGCAGTTTAGCTTGTGTTCTGCATGCTCAAAAAGCAGGAATTTGAGTTACTGAGTCTTTCATCTTCTTTTATCTTGTGGGCATACATGAGAAAGTTAAGACTATTTTCCTTTCATATCTTTGCAGACATTTGCGAGAGAAAAGTGGTTGTTTGGTTCATCAACAGCCTCCTCAAATTAACAGGAATTGATAGGCACAGACTGCATATGACTCTGAAAATCTCTCAAATTATATTTGTTTGTGCACACAAGGGATTTTCAACTTTATAAGCAGATACCAACCTTCTGTGAGTAACATCTCTCTTTAATGGAAAAAATACGTAAATGTACTTTTTTCTAAATCCTTGTTGTTAGTTTCTAATATGAGCAGGGCTACTCTGGGGAAAACTGAGCAACTGCATCCTTATAAGAACTTTGCTGATCTGGCTTTAAACCTGGGCTCAATACACTTAAGGAATGCTGGTGACTGGTTGCCTAGCAAACACAGTATTATGGGCTTTATCCTATTACCTGGTCTCAGAGGTATGTGGTGCATTTCTTGGCTAAGGTCATGTAAACCTTTAATGGGCTTCTGGTACATTATGGCAATATCTGTGCCTTAGCTTTTTAGAAATCTTTATTTTAACCTTCCCAAGGGAAAGGATAAGAAAAATCTTTGTTGGCAGTGCTTCCCCAAAACCTCAGAGAGATCTGGACCAAGAAGTCAATTATCTTTGTAGTCCATTATGATTAGGGACAGGAAACCTAATGGTCCTTTAGTATTTACTCCTGTTTGACTGTCAGATCTGTGTCTGAACTCCAACAGGCATTTTGATGTGGTTGTAAAAACAGGGTGATCTGTGTACTACCAGATCTTTTGGTGCAACAAAGCTGAGAAGGATGAAGAATGATCAAAGGGGTCCAGGGGCTTGATGGAGCTTATTTCAGCTTTATTTAGGGACTCAGAGGCAGAGGTGCCTGGGAAATACAGTCCAATGTAAAGCACACAAAGCTGTTCCAAAGTGGAAACATGGGATAAGATTGCTTGGGTTTAGGACCCAGAATCAACTGCCTTAATTTTGCCAATCCAATAGCAAGTCCCAAAATCTGGATTTGCTCTTGTCAAATTGTAGTGTCCTTCTGCTGTGCTGTGTCCAGATAAACAAAGGAAACCCACTGGGGATCAGTTCCGTGCCTTTTGGAGTGGGAGGCTGCTCTTGCTGGTATTGAAGTGATGGGTGGTCCCTCTGGGGATCTGCCTCCCACAGATCAGTGTCCTTACACATTCCAGTGCACAGAAAGCATCCACAGCTTCCAGACGTGCCCAGCAGAGCTGGTGGGAGAGAAAGGGCATTGCCAGTGTCTCTGCTGCCCCCAAAGTCTGGTGCACAGCACTAAATGGGAAGTGCCGAGAAATAACTGTGTTTGACTCCTTGTTGAATGGAAGGAACCTAAAAAATCATAAGGTGTTTTACAGACAAGAGGAGGGCAGAGAGATCTCCTTTTTAAGAGCGGTGTGAGCTCTAAATATTGTACTTCCAATGGGATTTAAAAAATTTCAATGCTAATGGCAATTAACACAAATGTCTTGCATTTCTTCTTTATTGCATCCTAGTACAGCTTGGCAGAACCTGTACAGAGGTATAATCAAGCACTGGTTTTCAAAGTAGAATTATGTAACTTTGGCGCATTTTCTCTTATTCCAGTCTGGCTGATAATAAAATACAAGCAGGAAGTAAAATTTCCTGCTGTGATGGAGAAAGCAGTGCCCACAAGCCTGCTGAAGAGGGGGGAATTGTTTTGTGGGAGGAGAGCTCAACAGCATCTCTGTCCTTTGTGATAGCTTGGAGAGCTCCCTTGTCAGTTTAAATCTCTCTCTGCTGGTGAGGATCAGTTACATTCCTGATGGACAATCCCCGGGATATTCCAAGAGTTTGTAATTTAGACTTTGGGACCAGGGGCCATCTTTGTTCTGTCTGTCCTCATCTGCTGTGCAGGCACCTAGTTTGCTAGCTGTTCTTGCAACCCCGTAAGTGGTTGCAGTCTTGGAGCCTGTTTAATTAGCTTTTACTTAAAAAAATATTGCATAACTCTAAGCACTTCATGAAGTTCCATTAAGTAGCAGAGCCTTAGCACATATTGCTGTGCTGAAAAGTGATAGACGCTAGAACACTGTCAGCTGCTTTGCTGAATTGGGGTTACAGCCTTAGCACAATTAGTTTTGCTCTCTGGTAGTGTATGCCACGCTTGCTTGCAGGGTTAAAACAAGAGCTGGTAGGAGCGAGGAGAAACAGCTCAGCTCTCAAACGTTACCTTAGTTATCAGCTCTTTTCATAAGCTACTCTTATTCATTAAAAGCTAATGATGTTCCACTAATAAAATCTGATCCTTGCTTACATAAATTTATTCTGACACAACCTTTAATAAATTGGAAGGAGAAAGTGCCAAAAAAAACTCAGTTGAGCACATCGCTGGTGTACGATACTGATACACTCTGACACCTGCACATTTTAGTTTCCATCAAAGGTCACTTTAAACTGGGAGGGAAAAAGAGTTTAGCATAAAGTCAGCAAATTTACTTTAGGTGTTTTTTCTCAACAAAAGTACCGCTTAATTTAAGAAACCTTTTTTTAAAAAAAACAAACACCAAAAAGTTCTGTTGTGTGCTTCAGACTTGTGTGTCTGAAAAAGTAGAAGCAGCAGCTCTTTGAGGAAAAATTCTTTTGCAGTGAAGAAGCATGTGGGGATTTCTGTACCTCATCTGACCCCAGAATTGTCCCTGTGGTCATGTCCTTACTTGGTAACTGGTGACATTCTGTAATCAGTTGTTGATTTTTATTGACAAGGCTTTGGGAGGTAACCCTGAATAATGTGTTGGGGCAGATTATTTTAAATGAAGGAAGAGAATATGAAAAATTGTTTTGGAAAGAAATTGAGAAAACAAGTGTATGTATGTGAAATGATATCTAATGATAATTTAAAAAAATTATAAAGCTTTTATTCAATTCATAATTTTAACAGGATCACATGCTTTAACAGGTCAAAAAAAAGTCCTGATCTTGTGAGCCTTTCTATAAGTCTTGGCTTCGCAAAGCTCTGTACTGGCTACTAGGAAGAAAAACTAACTCTATCCCAGCCAAAACCAGGACATCTATATTTGTAGTCACTTAAAGCCCTCAAAACTTGTTTGGGTTTTTTTCCCCCTCATTCTTAATGGTTAATCAGAAGTGCTACATGTAATTGACAAACATGACTTTCCTTAAACAAAATAAATATACTCAGGAAAGAACTTGGATTTAATTTTCCTCTCAGGTTACCCAGGAAGATATCAAGGGCAAATTTATTTTGTCAGCTTCCCTGTGTACTTATCTGTGAAAAGAGATGAGTGAAATCTCTTGTGGGATGAACTATTTTACTGTTGCTTCTCAGATTGCATCTCTAATCCCAAAGTATTTAACTCCACGTTTTGTAGTCTCTGTTACATTTTAAAAGCAGGGACTTGTGATAAACAGCAGAGTTACTGGGGTCAAAGGCAGCACTATAGATATTTTTCCACTTCCAGCAACTGGAGACAGCAAACACAAATTTATTTTTCTGAACAGAAGCTACTTGGAGCTTCTCCTCCAGCACTGTCATGTCATCTGATGCCTGTGTCCTGGAGCCTCCTTGCTGCCTCAGGAAGTGCCATGAACTCCCAATTTCCCTCCTCGGGCCTTCCTAGGACACTTTGGAGAACTCTGTTTCTCTCTGTGCCGTAAGTCTTTGGTGGTCCCAAAGCAATAGGATGAGGCAGTAGCTGCTGGCTTTCCCCCCAGCCAGTCCTGTGACAGAATGGGGGTTTCCTGGCATGGAAATGGTGGTGGCAATGTCCTGATTCCATGCTGGGGTGAGAGTGCTGTAGTTTGCAGCCGTGCTGGGGGCAGCTGTACTCAGGCTCACCAGCAGCTCTCTGCTCCCACTGTGGCACAGGGCTCAGCGTGGGCACCTCAGTGGGAGCACTGCTGCCCAGTCCTGCAGCAGCACTGCCTCAGCCACCCAGAATCAATTCCAATCATACTTTAAACTCAGCAACCCCTTGTTCTGGGAGTGTTTTCACCTTTGATATATCACAATTCATAATACTCCAAACCCTGCTTTGGTTTGTGTGATGCAGCCCCAGAGAGGCTCCAAACACTGCCTTGTCAAACTAATTGCCGTGTGTGGAAGAAGAGGCGCTCTGAATTTCGAATGCTGCTTCTCTCTAATAGAGTCTGATAAAGGGAGACTGCTTCACTTTCGCTGCCCCATGACCTGATGGAGTCAGCAACTCCCCAGCATACTGATGAAAAGCTTTTTGAGATGGGCTTTTGTTCTGCTTCTGACATTCACCCTTGTTTCTTCAGCAAACCATTAGGTTGTTGACCTCAGCCGTCCCCCAGTCTCATCTGTTTTTAGTGGGCTGTTAGGTTCAGGTTTGAAGTCTATAAGGAGAGTGATTTACCATTTTTACACAATAGTTTAGGCAGTTTGCCTTTCCGAGGCGGTCTGGACTGTGCTTGCTATCAGTCTCCCAGATTAACCTCCTGCTTTATTTCTACCTAATAAAATAAAAAAAAAAAGGAAAAAAAAAGAAAAGAAATCTAAATGGGGCCAAGAGAGTGGGAATATGGACAGTGAATTCTGTGGAGTTAGGAGTTCAGCCCCTTAATATTAGATTTTCTGCATTGATGAGAAATTCCTAGTGCTCTTTTGGGAATAGGAGGCTAACATAAAAGTAGAATGCAAAACCAGGGATACTTCAGAGCTTCCACCTGTGCACACAACTTCTAAAATGCTGGACATAATTTGGGGTAATGTAATTCTCTAGCTAACATTACATCTCCATTTTACTATCACTTCTGTTTCATGTCTTCCCATTTCTTAGGAGCTCATAAGATAATACTGCATGTTGAAGGAAAAGAACTACTCTTCCCTTTGGCAGATTACCTGTGAGATGATGATTTGTGCCTTTAATAATTTCCTGTTTCTCTCTTTGGCTGCTTCAGGAAAAGGCCATACATTTTTTTTTAGTAATGCATGTTTTTTGAATCAAACTAATGCCATGCGTCACATAGTTGCTTTATTTTTGTCTAACCTGAGTCAGAACATATGTTGGTTTTGTTCAGCATCTAAAAAATACTGTCACTAACCTATCAAAAGGTGTTGAACAGAGTTTTTCTAAATATGACCTGGGGATCACACTGTATAGGTGAGCGTTGTTTAGTACATAGAGACATTTAGAGATGTTTTGAAAGTCTCTCCACGACAGAAGAACTTTACCCTGAGGATT